GGGGGGGGGGGGGGGGGGGGATAGGGGTAAGTCAAGGGGATGTGTTATTTGCTTTTTACGAGTTGCATTGCTGTGAGACGTGATGAGGACTGGAATCTGGAATCTTGGATCAGGAACAAGGTGTGCATGTATGTTGTCCGGGTTCATGTGATTAGTCAATGGTCGCTACCAGGAGAATGCCAGGGCATGTGAAGTGGCCTGTTAGTTCACCAGCTAGGCAGATAGATTTACCTGATTGAGGCCAGAGTAGGCGGAGAGACGAAGACTCGCAAGGCTATGTCGGTTAGCGAGCGGAGTAGGCATAGCAATAAGAATTGAGTGAGTGAGAAACAGTCTTAGTACAGCCCCCCTCCCTCCCCGGCCTGGCCTGCGCTGCGGTTCGTAGATCATGGTCTAGTCAGAGGGATCCTTGCACTGCAGCTTAGCGCCGGTACAGAGTACAAGCTCGCCTTGTGCCCGGTTCAAGAACGGAGAGAAACAAACGTGGAATAGGGTGTTACAGCCGTCCTCTATTTTTATCACGGGGGTGCAAAATCTTGATTGATAGCATTGACAAATAGATAAACTTGTCTCCAAAGAGGAGTAATGTGATGTAGATACAGCTAGCAAGGAACCATGTGGTGGCTAGGTATAGCCGTACTTAGAGGAAGCACTTGAACGACTTGACGGAGTTTGAGAAGTTCCAGCAGGACGAAGGTTTCATGGTGAGCGTGTCCATTTTTTCTTTGCAATTCTCGTCGCTGTTGACAAGTCAGTCGAATGCAGAATGTGGAGGTACAAGGAGGTGGTATACTTATAGGTTATGCAGGCCATGTCAATACTGGTGGAGAGGGAATTGGCACTGTTAATTTTTGTTAGTATAAGTGTATACAACAGCTGATTCTATATACACGCCTGTACTCACTTGTTACCAGGTTTGGCACTAAGACCAGTACACTCCGAGTCACTTTCGCCGAAGGGTATCAGGCTGAGGTCACCTCCATCAGCACAGTTGATGTGACCTGCGTGCAATATAGCGAATGGGGTCTATCCATAGAATGTTAGATCCTTTCAGACTATGACTTGTCAACCAGGCGAGCATCATACCGGTCCTCTATAATCTACAGCCTCTCCCGTACCCTCTGGATCACCCGGCCTAGGTCTTGCAAGTCCCACAGCTGCAATAGACAGCAGTAGAAGACAGAGGAGATGCATCTTCTGACTTGATCTTCGTCGTTCTTATGGCTTCCAACTGCCTGTTAACTAAGGCGAGTTGATCAGAAAGATGGAATTGTCGCAACGAAGAAGTGACATACTTTATAGCTTGCTGATAGAAGCTATGTGATGTCGTTATTCATCATGAGCCCTCCCTTATGCTGGTCTTCTCAGCTTGATTAGAAGCCAGAAGTGTCGGAGACGGCTTATGTAGAGTGATTATTCAGGTATCTAGTCATCATCTCCATTGCTGTCATTTAACCCCGTGTGTTTCAGCTTCTGCACTCCTCAGCTGTGTAAAGGCCGACGTCGTGAAGCCGACGATGGAGAAGTTTGAAGTCACTGGCGGTGTTATCGATAAGCAGCTTGCTTATCTGTTATCGATAACCCAAAACGAAATAAGGTGGCCGCTTCCAGGGGGGCGAGCAGGATGGGCGAAAGCGCACTAGGGATGGTCCGCTCCTTTTTTGCTATCATTCCTTTTTTTTTTGGAACCTTTCCTTTTTGTTTCCTGATGCACCCCGCAAAACTCAACCTGTAACTCGGGCCATGCCAGATAAGTCCATGAGCGAAAGAAAGGAGCCAGCGATGGGAGAGCCGGACGCCGCTTGCGTCCTCCGCTGTGACGTCGCCCGTCTTTGCTTTACGGCTGCTGTTATTGTTGACTTGCGATGAATTTTACAGGTTTTTCCAGCCACAAGTCAATGACGTTGTTTTTTTTTTCTTTTGGGTTTACGTTCTCTGTGGATGAGTCACGTGGAGCTGTATTAGACGATACGGTAAAATACAAACGCGTTTCCACGGTTCCAGTTGCAAAAGGACCTCCTGCAGAGAGGAATGGACAGAGTGAGAGAAAAGAGAGAGAGAAGAACGACGACGAAAAAGAAACGAGCCAGCGGGAAAAAAAGCAAAGAAGAGATGATTTGAGAGTGTTGACGAGACAAGAGAGGAGAGAGAGCGAGACCCTGTGTATGTATACATGTTCGCTGCGGGGCGGGCGCATGCATGCATGGAAACTCTGGCCTCTCTCTTCTGTGCGCCCCCCAAGGCAGCCTGGCCAATAATGGCAGCGAGATGACGATTCCGAAGGGCGGTCGAGACGAGAAAAAGGCGACGAGCACATCACACGGTCGGGTCAGCCATGATAGCGAGAGAGCAGAACCGTTGGACGGCAGTCGAGCGAGGAGATACTTGTAGCCTGACGATCGATGGATGACGAGATGACAATTATTATCAGAGTCAATTGACAGGCAAGGGCGAACAAGAGATGGGAGATGAAGTCCCTCTGCTCCTCTTTTTTTTTCCCCGTTGGGCAGCAGTTAGGTCTCGATGGATTCTCTCTATCCGCGACATCCCTTCCATCTTTCCTTACCCACACAGCAGCCAGGGAGAAAGGATGAGGGCCAGCGAAAAAGAGGAGAAAAAGGGGGCCAAGCAGGGAGAGAAACCGACTAACTCACTAAACTGCCGATGGGTTGAGATGTATCCCCCATCATATCTGACTCTAACTCCATAGAGTTATATTTACTCCTAGTGACGAAGGTCTGACCGATAAGGGCAAAAGTTAATTCGCTTATCAAGTCATTCTCCACTGGCTTGTGACTGACATGGGGTCGGAAGGATGGGGGAGAGGAGAGGGAGAAGAGAAGGAAGATGGCCGATCCCCATTCATACAGTGCTTGATTCCTGTTGGGTTGATCTCCCTCAAGTCCAATTGACCTTCTACGGGTACATTGGCCAGATATGGCTGCCTGAAATCGATTGCGACGAAACAAACGAAGAAGAGGCGAATGGCCTGTGATCGATGATAAGCCCACGGCCAGGCTGCTGGATAACCACAACAACAACAACAACCCCCGTCAGCCGCATTCCCAGGCTAGGCTCCCCTCCCAGCTGAAGCAAAAAATAAAAGAAAACAGGTGGGTGTGGGTCGACCAACGGGACAATAAGACATTTGACAGGGGGCGCCCTTTTTATTCCTTTTTTGGAGGTGTTTATATGAGTCTCAGGGGGGGCCAGCGTGTTACTGTTACTCTGCTTCGCTTCACACTATTATCCCTTTTTATTTTGCTGAAAATAAAATAAGGGAGTTTCATTAGTTGCGCATTGAAGCCCAGCACAAAGGGAGGGAGAATAAGGCAGTCAATGGGCAATCAGGGAGGAGTCAAGTTATTGACGTCAATGGGCAGAGTCAATGGCTGGCTGGCTTGGTTCAATTGATCAATCAGGCCACAACAACACATTCCCCCCAAGACAGGTTACAAGAGTGCAACAGAGGGGAAGTGCAAACACTAGCGAAATTGACGGTAGCCTAGCTCTGCTGATTCCTCCTCCTCCTCCTCCTCCTCCTCCTCCCTTTCGCTCTGCCTTGTATGTTAGTCTATCTGTTAATGGTACGGCCGGCCGGAGTATGGCGTTCCGTCTGGGGGATTGCTCCTCTCTTTTCTTTTTCCTGCCTGTTTTTAGGCAGTGTTAGCATGCAGACGGGCCAGTGAGAGGTTGGTGATGAGGGCGATTTAGCCGCCTGGGGACCGTCGTAGTGGTAGCTCGTTCGAACTAGTTATGCTCTGCCATCCAGATTATTACGGATAAGCAAGAGTGCCGATAATAATACTCTGGATCAATACGCAGGACGGAGGCAGGTCAATGGTGTCATTTATGGCTAGGATAGAACCAGTCAATGAGAGAGTATCAGGAAATCCATGGTTTGCCTCAATGGGAGAACCAGACCTCTCAACAATAATAAAGGAAGGACTCTACCGGCTATTTAAACCAGCCACTTTCCGCCCTCCTAAGCCTCTTCTTCCTCCCTTCTCCTTCTCCTCTTTCTCACCTTCTCGCTCACCGTCTTCTGCTGCCTTCAATTCCCTCGGCCAGGCAACAGGCAAGAAAACAGCCTTTCTCCGCCGTATCGATAACGACTTACCGCGCGACCGTCTGATCAAACCCGCAAACTCCAACCAATTCACCCGCTGCTCTCCCGCTAGCAAACACGAACCCATCTCCCACGGCCGGCGAACGACAAAAGAAGCAACTTTCCCGCCTCAGCGAAGAGAAAAGAAACAAGGAGAAGAAGCAAGACTGTCTCTCTCCCTCTCTGTCTCTGTCGCTGCGCTGCTCTGCTCTGCTCTGCTTTTCTGTTATTTTATCTGTGTTCGTCACAGAAAAAGCAAAGAAAGGAGGCTAAGCCTCTGTATTGCAAATACGGCGCCCTTGTAATTTTGCAATACGGCGGCCTTCGCCTGCGCTGCGCTGCGCTCCCCACCCAGTCATCAGTCATCTTCATCAAAGGTCACCAGTCACTGGTCACTCGCTGGGTCGACAAAAGTCCCAGCTTATAAAGTCTCCGTTCTCCGTCTCCCTCGCACCGTCTGCCGCTTAGCCTCCTCTTATTCTCCTCAGTCTTTCTGTCCCTTCGAAGAGCGAGTGCGCAGGCCCGGACTTTACAGCCAGCTTATCCCCGTAACGCCCTCGCCACGACCACACGAGACCCGTCCGAAAGGGGACTAGCGCCATCTGACAAATCCTCGCCTTCCGTCACTGCCAAGCAAACCTTTTCCATTGACTTCCACCTGCCCTGGGTCGGGCTGCCGTCCATCTGACCGTTGGGGGAGGAGAACATATAATATAATCTACATCTCTCTCCATCACTCGCGCATCTCTCCTTCGCTCCTCCATCCACCGTCCTTCATCCATCGTCGTCCGCATCCCATCAGCTGACATACCATCGAATTTAAACGAGTCGATTCGTCGTCCATTCGAACTAGGCAGCATCACCGTTCAATCAAAAAACCATAGTCGAGTACCGCAGGCAGCAACCAAATCGACGCATGCAGAACAAGGGCATGCACAACATGAATCGCTTACCCTCTGTCGCCAGCCTGATGTCTCCTCCAGAGGCAAAGCCCCACGACTCCTTCAGCCGAACCCTCTCTCCCTCCGTCCCACAGCAATCCTCCTTCGACAGAGATAACAAACTACCTCCAATCTCAGACGATCGCAAAAGAAAGCAGTCCGAGATGATGGATCTGCCATCGCCACCCGTCACACCTTATGTCGAGAGCAAGAAGCAGCGAACAAACGATGATGAGCCGGTTGATAGACAGGGTGGCACGGTCGGCAGCAGCATCAATAACCGGGATCCTGTCCTCTTCCCTCGCTCAGACGAGAGTTCTACCGCCATACCCAATGATGAGCCACTCTTCGCTTCAGACGAGGCCACAGTTGCAGATATCGACCAGCACATCGCCGCCAGCTCATACAAACTCAAGGTCTCCAAGGAAAACCTGCCCAGCCGTCGAGAGTATCTCTACTTCTGGTCCTGGGTCACCACCCAGTACAATTCAAACCCAGCAGCATATGCCAGGGACGAGCGTGCCCGTTTAGATCGCCAGATGTCCGAGATGAAACAGTATCGACCCATTGCACGGCCATCAACGCAAACGAAACTCAAGACCTTGGCACCTGCTCCTGCAACGAGACGTAGGCCTAGCAGCAGCTCCTCTCCCTCTTCCAACGAGGTATCCAGGCCTGTTCGTCCACCACGGGCTAGACGCAGCCCCAAGTCGACTCCCAAGACCAAAGCCCGGGACTCATTCGATCCTCTGCCCAAGCCAACCCGTGTAATCGGCGCCAACCGTGATGAGACAGACTACCGCATGCTGCCCAACTTCTGTCCACCCATTGAGACTCTCCGCGGTAACACCAAGGGTCTCAAGGCCGACTGGAAGGGTCAATTGCTCGATCTCTCGGCAGACCCAGACCGCGACGCTCTTGATCCCGCTGAGATCAGTCTTGCTTCTACTCTACGTCTCTCCTGCGCTAGCTACCTCGCTAGTAAGCGTCGCATCTTTGAGGCAAGAGTCAACGCTTTGAGAGCCGGCAAAGAGTTCCGCAAAACCGACGCTCAGCAGGCCTGTAAGATTGACGTTAACAAGGCCAGCAAGCTCTGGACCGCATACGAGAGAGTTGGGTGGTTGGCCGAAGAGCATTTCCGCCAGTACGTCTAAGGCGCGCAATAGCAATAGCAACAGCAATGACATCACGAACTTGGACTTGACTTGCTTGCTACTTTCTTCAGATTGACCTCTGACTGATTCGGCCTGTTTATTTTGCTTCCTATTCAGCATTTTGATCGGTTTTGAGACACGAAATTGAACACCTCCAATACCCCCATTCATTCATCGCGCGTTTTTGCTACTTACTATTTCACGACCCGGCGACGCGCCTTTTATTGCCCGTTCTTCTCTTCATCCTGCACTTATTCACCTTTTAATACCAGAATGACTTCCAATCATGACCCAACGGCGTTTGGCTTGCTTGTGTTCTCCTTGCTTTTTATTCGCGGTTGCGCAGGTCGAAGATGAAGATGAGATGTTGCGTTAAAGTTTTTCTCTTTTCTTCTTGACCCGGTGTGCGGCTCTGGGGGGATGGCCTTAGCTGGACTAACGTTTCCCCGACCCACCTTGCTCCGATGACCTTAACGGACTGGAACCTTACATCGACGACGACGACAACTGCCTGCCACTCTTAGTGCGCTCGAGGTTACGCACAACAGCCTCCAATGTCGAGATATCAACGTCGATGAAACTAGCCACCACACCGGATCATTGCTTGTCTCATCTTCTTCTCATGACCTCCCTGCTTTTCTTATCTCCTTGACTGTGATCCTCATGTCTGGCCATTTCATGGCAGAGCTTTTTCTTTCAACATCATGTAGCCATCTTTCTTTTTGCTTCAGCCGTCGCCTCTACTTCTTTCCAGCACAGCACTTACAGCACAGAATACCACGTTGCTCCTTGTTTATATTTTTCGCGCTTCTTTTAACACACGCATTGCAATGGCAAACGGGGAACTAGCATCATATCATTCTCATTGGGAGGAAGATAACGGGAATCGGATCGGTGGTCTGGTATTGGGTGGTTGCTATCTGTTTTTCTTGCCTTTTCTTTCCCCCTTTGTTTGTCTCTCCCCCTTTTTTGCGTTTTGTTTTATCAATTATCCATCGAATTATCATCACATAGCAGGCAAGCAAGACAAGACAAGAATTACTATTTCCTTTTCATTTGACATAACTTTTCATATTTCCTTCTCCTTCCTCTTCAGGTCATTATCTAGGGCATTGCATTTGTTAACCTGTTTGCTCCATATAATAATACAATTCTCCATACAATACACACAATCAATAAACACAAGCGGCGCATTCTAGATTCAAGTAATCTATTCACCCTTCTCAACAATAACAACAATGGCTAATCACCGAAGATTCACCCCATTTCATCCCATTGACAGCCGGGCATTTTTGGATAGCCTGTCTTCCTGTTTAGAGTACATGCGGAGATACACTTATTGATCTGCAATGCAGAAAAAATACCACTTGAAAACGGCGACTAAACGGCGCAGCATATACCCATAAACCTACACAGCCTAATAAGCCACTGACTTTTCCCATCCTTCCACAGACTCAATTCTAGCCTCGTCGAATCGCCTCGTTCTGTCTCGCCTTCAACTTCGCCCTGGAGCAAACCTATTAATAGATATAACCTCGGGTTTATATAAGCAACTCACACACGTAATCCAAGGCTTAGCAGTGACTGGGCATCAGGATGCAAACAGTGCAAACATGACCGGGTTTGTTCGTCCTTCCCTTTAGTGCGGCCCCTTTGGGAACAAATCTTTGGAGCGACTGCAAGACGGACGGTTCAACAAAAGCCAGGGACGACGACCATCAAAAAGAAGACGGGACAGGGGTTCAAAAGACGTCTTGACAACTACGGTTAAACTGCTTGCCAGCCCGGCTTTTGACGAAAGAACGATATCTCGACTCCTCGACCGGGCCTACAAATTTCTCGACGTGGCGTATAGTCCAAAGCGGCCGTGATGGCGCCGACTCTAACGCATACGGACTCGCTCGAGGCGCAGGATCCAAATATTCATAAGAATGAGAAGAAACAGAAGAGCAGAAGGCCCGCAAGTGTGTTATAACCATAGTAACATTTCTTTGCTGTTTTATCTTTGTGAAATGGGGAGTAGTATGGGCTGACCGGATGCGCGCGGCCACGGCCTTGTTGCTTTACAGATACGGCTTTTCGTCAACAGCGATTGAAAGCATGGCAGTAAGCGGTTTCTCTGATCGCAAGGAACAAACAACGGGAGAGGAGCGGTATTCTAAAGCAGTGGAGCTTACGCATGCCGTGTCTATAGGCCGATTTTAACCCCCAAAACTGTCCTGCCGCTCTTCTTCATTATGGGCATCATATTCGCGCCGATAGGAGGATTGTTGATATATGCTAGTTCGCAGGTATGTTTTGCCATTTGCGACCGTATATCTGTAAAGAGGGATCACGATATTGACACAAGCCCAGGTCGAAGAGTTAATATTCGATTACTCCAATTGCAAGGACGCACCTGTTGGCAAGGATAATGCCAAAGATGCCAGAGCCAACGTTCGAGCCTCGTTTAAAACACAGTCGAAGGGTGACACCCCTTATCAGTGGTATAAGAATGACGATGTCGACGTCACACTTGACAATGGCGTACACATCAATACAACCGTCTGCTCTCTCATTTTCGACATACCGAATGACATCGGTGCGCCAGTATACCTCTATTATCGCCTTACCAACTTCTACCAAAATCACCGCCGATACGTCAAATCTCTTGATCTGGACCAGTTGAAAGGTGTTGCAGTACCGAATGCCACGATTGGAACCAGCACTTGTGACCCTCTAAGGCTTGACCCCAAGGGCAAGGCATATTATCCATGCGGCCTGATTGCGAACTCCGTGTTTAATGATACGATATTGGAACCCAGACGTATTGGTGGCGGTAACGACGGAAACCAGACCTACCCAATGACTAACAAGGGCATCTCCTGGTCATCCGATAAGGACCTTTACAAACCCACGAAGTATTCCTACGACCAAGTCTCGCCGCCCCCGAACTGGATAAAGAGATACCCAGACGGATACACGGAGAAGAACCCGCCACCAAATGTCCAGGAGTGGGAAGAGTTGCAGGTTTGGATGCGTACCGCCGGTCTGCCAACTTTTAGCAAATTAGCCAGACGCAATGATGGTGACCGAATGCTTGCTGGATCCTATCAGATTGATATCCAGGACAGTATGTTTAATCTTTTTTGAGATACGTTTCATTTGCCGCCCCATCCTGTTACTAACAAACAAGCAGACTTTAAAGTCGATATTTTTGGTGGCACCAAATCTATCGTCCTCACTACACGAAGCGTGATGGGTGGAATCCACCACATGCCTAGGAATTGCATACGTCGTCGTTGGTGGAATCTGCATTGTTCTCGGTACCATCTTCACCTTTGTCCATTTGATAAAACCAAGGTATGTTAACACTACCTCATTCGAAATCCCTATTTATCCCAGTCCGAGGCTAACGAGCGTTTAAAGAAAACTCGGTGATCATCGCTACCTTACTTGGAACAGCGAACATGACGGTACAGGCGTAGCAACGGGGGCATCAACAACACCAAAATCGTTCTTCAATTTCCGCAGACGAGGTTAAGTTGATATTCCCGTTACTTGCCCTCTCCGCGGCCCTACCTATATTATAAGCTGTTATGTATTTATGTAAACTCATCGGCGTCTCAGTTATGTCTCTTACCTTTGTTTTTGTTATTTTTTTGTTTTTTCAGCCTGCCATCTTAGAAGCAGCAACCATGCTACCGTTTTATCACTACTCTGATACCTCAAGCTTAAAGAAAAACTGCCTTGGATTCATTTCACTTTATACCACTTCTTCTTTTTGCCCCCCCTTTTCCGTGTCAATTGTTTTCTTTCCTTTGCTTTTTGTTCAACAGGGTGTATATGATAGGGAATGAACTTAGCTGGGCTGTTGTGTCGCCCTTATGTGTGAGATTATTTTAGCCCTTTTTACTACTTCAATCAACTATAGGCTTTTCTATCTACTCGATCGATCCACGTTTGAAGAAAGCAAGTACAAGGTAGCCTCGTAAACTTCACGGTAATACAATGGTCTTGTCCTTTTAGGTACCTAGATTCATAATACCTGTAAAGCGTTCGAAATTGTCCATTCATGTATGATTAAGATGGGTCTTTATTTGCCATCTATCGCTACGGTTCTCGATATCTTTTCCCACGAAAGCGTCGGGATAGCAGTTTGCTATAGGTATAGCCTAAAGTCGGTATTGAAGTATCGATGGCCTATAATGAATAAAGCTCTTTTTGCCCTTTCCCGTCCCTATGCTTTTACAGCGTTCAAGTAGAATATTAAAGAACAAAAATACATATTGCAAAGGGAAAAAAACAAATCATAGATAGAATTTGGGGGCATAAACATGACCGGACACCATTGGTAGGGCAAGTTGTGGTGGAACTTAAAAGCTTTTAACGCTTTCTCTTCCTTGGCTTGTCCCCATCATCATGCCCTCCTCTAGCAGCCTCCTTGTCTTTCCTAATAGCCTCCTTTTCCAATTCATCCCAGTCAGCACCTTCATCACTCTCGTCCTCACTGGCAGCTTCGCTCTCATCACTAGCGTCGTCATCATCATAGCCACTCTCCTCCTCCGAGCTTTCATCTGCTGCAATTTCAGAGTCAGATACCTCGAATGCAGACTCCTCTTCTTCATCCTCTCCTTCGGAGTCAGAGTCACCGCCCAGGAACGACCAGCCGCCATCCTGGAAGAAGCCATATGGATCGCTGGTAACAGTCTTCATGATGGCACCCCAGCTGAGGTTGAGAGGACCTTCGCTGAAAGGAATATCAACAGAGTCGAGCCAATCCTTGACTCCTTCAAGATTCTCCATTGGAATGGTGTTGATGTGCATTGGTGGACGATGGAAGTCTTTGAAGACAAAGACGAGATCAAAGTTTTTAAGGCCGAACTATGCACACGTTAGCGTCTAAATTTTCAACTTTCGTTTAGGGATATTTTTACCTGTACCCTCTCCAAGTGCGCAACTTCAATTTCGCTCAATGTCAGGGCAAGGAAAGGAGGCTCAGTTAGCTGAGCAATTGCGTCAGTAGTTGGTTGGATCAAAACATTGGAACGGTAAGTGTGAGGAACACCGGTGAAACCGATTTCTCTGAATGGGATATCAACATCAACGCCTTCGTCCTTTCCGGCGTCAGAGATCTTCTCTGCAAAGGCCTTGAACTCTTTATCCAAAGCAGCTCTGCGCCTTCTCTCCTCTTGTTCAGCCTCAAATTCTTCTTCATCTCCATATCGGTGTTTTCGTCGTCTGTTGCCAGTTTCGTCGAATTGCATGTCTGTAGCCTCACGGTAGAATTGAACATCCCTGGTAGTGCGCTTTCCAATCATAATTGGTGTCTTGAGATGAACATGAATAATAACAGTCAATTCGTGTTGGCACGGTTGGAAAAACAAATGTTTGACGTTGTTGAACAGAACGTCAACATTGTCGCTTCTAAGAGGGGACAGGTAACGTAGGCCGTTTTGATGAATTTCAACTTCTCCAGGCACACGCTTACCATCTAATTGTGGACGGAGGTAGACGTCTGGTAGCTTAATAGGTCGGCGATCTAATAAAACTGTCAGTATACCAGCTATCAAACGATAGAAAGGAGATGAGCGGACATACTTCTTATTTCAATGAGCTTGTCCTGCTCCACAACATCCTCCATCTGTTTCTTCACCTGCTCTCGTCTCAGAGCATTTTTCCTAAGCTCAGTTATATCCTTTGCAATCTGAGCAAAACGATCATGGTCTTTGGACCTAAGGGTAAGATTTCGCACGAAATGTGCAGATGCATCCTCGAATGGCTGATCATCTTTCCTTCCAACACCCTGACCAGGGGACAAGAAGTTGATACGGAGATAGGCATATTCTCCTTCGTCACTCTTGCTTGCGTTCTTGATAGTGTTAATATGGAATGGAACTGGGCGTCCCAGGATAGGAACAATAACTGATGCAGCTTTATGGTCAACATAAATGATCAAGTCCTTGACGCGAGAAGGTAGTTGACTATCTCGTTTATACGATTCGAAGCGTTGGAAGGTCTTCTGTGCAACGCCGTTTTGGTTTCCTTTGGTACCGGCGAAGCGCTCCAGACCTTCCTTATTCTTCTTTGCATGTAGCTCCTTTTGGTGCTCACGTCGACGTACATCAGCGCCATCACTGACCTGTGTTGGGCGTTCAGCTCGAAGTTTCGTCTGAATAATGTTCTTGCTGACAATAGTGCTGTTTCTGTTGCTCTCGCCCTGGCTCTTTTTTGGCTTTTGAGTTTCCTCCTCATCACCAAAGTAGAATGAGACGGAGTCCATGTCGATTCCTGCATCCTTGGTAAAAACGAGTGGCCCACTCTCACCGACGCGAATTGTATCAGTGACCACCATCGAATATATTGCATTTTTCTTGTCTTGGGGGTCTGGGTCGGTGACATCAGTGAATCCAATGGACACACAAAGCGTCATGCCACTTCTGAGAGTCTTGGTATTCTTTCCATTAAGGAGCATGTTGGCATCACGGAGCTCAATGCCAATTCCAGCACCAATGTTGCGCACAAAGTGCTTCTCCAGCTCTGGTTTCTTTGCTTTGATCATCCCTAAGGCTTTGTTGTACAAATCTTTAACAACGGTTCCATCCCGAATATCTTTCACAACTGCATCATAGATAGCAAGAAGGAAGCCATAGTTAGCCTCTTGCGACTTGCTAGGATCCACCAAAAATGTTCGTGCAATAGCTGCAGCGTATGTTTTGTAACGAATCCCAAATCCTGCAATGATGATACCAGGAGAGAGATTTTTATCATCGGGAGTTGCGGAAAATCTGAGATCGTAGTTTCCACCACTCTGAACAACGGGTCCATAAGCCCAATCGATTTGCTGAGCATCGAAACCGGTTGGCAATTTCGCCAACTTATTAAAAAACTTAGCATCATCGATTTTAGCCTCGATTTTGCCGGAAAGAGATTTATGGCTCATTTTCTTTTCTTCATCAAGGAGTTCTGACATCTCATCCACGAAATATTCAGACATGAGACCAGAACAAGCCCTGGCAGCATTTCGCATCGATGTCTATTAGATGCATTAGTCATTTGTATAACATCCTAAAAAGGGCACTTTTTACTGACCAATTCCTCTGGGCCCTTTACGGAGAAAGCGTGAGCTGATAAGGCGGGGCTGATGTCCACTTCCTCAACATCCTTAGAAATATCTCCAAAAATCCGCTTCCATTCTTCAGCAAATGGACCAGACGAAGCATCTTTCGGCAGAGTTCCAACTTTTTTCTATATTCGCAAGTTAGACTTGAAGGACAAGCTAATGTTCGTATGAATAGGAGGAGCATACCCCAGCATTTTTGATTATATCCAGACACTTTTCAAATATCTTTGTCTTTTGTTCGGCATCGCGGGAGGTTATCAAAAGTTCGACTGGAATTTTGCCGCCTTGAAGTGGTTCGAGGTGTTTGGCTGTTGGGAGTAGAATCAACGGATTAGCATACCCCCACTTAACGAAGGAGAAAATCAAGTGTTTGCATACCCTTCTTTGCTGTAGTCACCACATACATTGCTTCCATGGTGAACAGGAAAAGCGTAGCCGGAAACTCATAGCCGAGGAGCCAGAACTATAGATAAGCCCATTAGTATAATTCTAATATTGTAACAGAGCCTTCTTCTAGACTCCCGAAGCCGTCATGGACACGCACATGCATCGCATTGTTCTTCTGGAATGAGTTGGAGTCTTCGGTCTTGCCCATGAGGATAACTATCGATGAGGCGCCGCCAAAGACCTGGTTTGCCGACCTCTTATCTGCCTTCCATGCCGAATAGAAGCTTGAAAGACGGGTTGAGAAGGTCGTAGCATCGATTTTGATAGTGTCGCCCATGGTTAATCGCAGTGCCTCTGAGGAGGACTGGTGATGTGAGGAAGGGCTGAGCTTTCAGAAGCTTGCTTTAGAGCTTGGGAGCCAAAGTAGCCGCGAAACGATGTATCAAAAAGAAGCGAAACGGTTCCTTTTTCTTATCCCTCTCCAAGCAAAAGAGAGTCACTAGCTCATCCGTGGGCCTGTAGGAGATGTCGAAGAGCTGCGTGAGCAAGCTGCGCGGTGTATGCTCAATATTCTTGCCTCTCTGTCTGTCTTCGACCTTTTCAACTTTCTTTTCGCTCTTTTCACTTTAGAGAAAGCGACGTGAGGCGCGTCTGCAATCTAACCGCTTTTGGTTAGCAGGGAAGTGAGTCTGTTTGCACTGTTTGCAAATGAAGGTCATCCATCAAAAAAAAAAAAAAAAAAAAAAAAAAAAACGGCCAAAGGAAGATACGAAGCTGCTGCTGCTGCAGAGGCAGATGACGATGGTGAGAGGGCCGATTTTATTCATTTGACCGGTATATTTTAGCGTATTCTTTTTGGATACACCCTCATGCTTTTCGTCTCAAGACTGTTCTCTCTTTGAGTCGCCCTCCCTGCTGATGGATATCCTCTGCCTTCTACACCACGACCATGTCCGTACCCATCGATAGCCCGGCACAACTGAAAACAAGCCATTCCAAAGTAGGGAACGATGATGCTGATGGTGACGGTACGGGACGCCGGAAGCCCCGAACAAATGCGGCTACCGGTGCTTCGGCCGCTGGAATGCGCGCCATAAGTGCTCAAGCTGTAGCTTTTTACTTTAGAACTCCGGTGAAGGCATTCTTTCGCACCAGAGTTGAGTAGGTAGTCCCCAGTATGTACATATGTCCAGGCTAATACTAATAATATATTTATGTATAGCTATATGGTATGACTTTAACTTTTCAGATCACGCATGTCTACCGCTAAAGAAGTGTCGCGAATAGGCTCTAGCCAAAGCAATCGGACCACAAACTACAACAGGAGGGTGGTCATGGAAGACAACTACCCCTGGACTTCTTGCAAATGCTGTCCAGTCGCATGGTTGGGTCTTTATACCGTACCAGGTCCTTCCACCGCTGATAGCGAATGTTGGGTTAGTTAACCACCCGATGCAATGAAGTAATGTTCTAATGCAAGATACAGGGTCGGGGCCATACTGTATACTTCCTATCTACAGATACTTGGTGCTATGCACGAACCAACACTGATGGGCGGTAAGCGGGTTTATCCACCTCCATCACCCCCCGTCACCTTCTTTGCGGGCTTCGCTGCAGGTGCCATTCAGTCCGTTGTTGCAGCACCCCTGGACGCCATACAAGCCCGGTCAAGGACCAGCGATATGATAAACGGCCGGTCCCGTAGCGCATGGCATTATGGCTGGGACAAACTCAAAACCCTCGGTGCTCGTGGGGTATTCTCTGGCTGGACACTGTCCTTTCTGAAAGACAGCCTTGGATCGGCAGTGTTCTTCAGCTTGTTCGAAACGGTCAAGGCACAGGGATATTACCATTTTATCACTGGGTACTATGGCTCTCTCCAGGCGCCCTCCATCCAAAAACTATCCTCACCTACTCAGCCCGGTGAAATTCCTGTGATCAAGCCACATTATGCTCTGGAGCCCGCATTCCTCATGCTGGCTGGAATCACAGCTACCATCTTCCAACAAGCCGTTCTACATCCGCTAAGCCTAGTACAAAATATCTATTACCGGAATCTAGACCACCTTGATAAACGGGTCCGTCATTCTCGCTCGGGTAGAGAGATGATGGAGCATCGTGCCAACGCATATATAGAGACATTCAAGAAATGTCAACGCCAGGCACGGCGGATAGGTGGTTGGCGAACGTGGCTGTATGGGGGGTTCTTCATGAATACCCTTCGCCAACTCCCAAGCACCAGTGCTGGCCTGATTATCTTCGAACTTGTTAGGCGCAAGTATGGCGTGCCCACTGATGCTGTGCACATCCAGCTTGACGGATACGATATCATCCTTACTTAAATCACGTCACTCTCGTGATAATCTTGGCTTGGGCTGTTTCCTCCTTTTCTATATTTAATTTTTAAGAGCTTTTTTACTATATACCACACTCCATATAGATCTCTTTTTTACTGGGCTTTAGGAACATTTCCTTCTGGGATATGAAGGAACGAGACAGGTTCTAGACATGTTCGGGGTAAGCTCTGGTTGCTTTGGAGTCCTCAATCTGCTTTTTGATGAGATCGAATAGGTGCTCTCACTATGTAAATCTTGCAAATTTCATGGACATAGATCAAGCAAATAGATAGTTAATATAATATACATGAAGAGTCCTTTCTCTTTTACTATAGAGTAGACCATTCCTGTATTAGTAGTTCTCTCCTATTCTAAGACCCTATCGAGATGAGATGTGTTATTTGCCCTATAAACGCCAAGACACGGGCCGTAACTCTAAAAAACCCAGATATTGTACAAATGATATCACCACTTAAAAAAATCCTCATTTGCAGCCTTGTTCGACGTTTTCGTTCTTCTCGCCTCCCTTCCACCAAGTCCAGATAGCCTTGCACCAAAACCACATCTCAATAGTTCCAAGGACAGAGAGTACAACGAGCAAGACGATTTTCATATTCTTCCCAATACCGAGGGATTCCAGGCTCACGGGCGGAGTTCGATACGGATCATTGTTTGGATCGGAGCCGACCCCGGATGAAGATGTATCGTTGGGGGTCTTTGAATTAAACCGTAGTGGATATGTAGAAAATTTTGATGTTGCCGTTGGTCGGCAACTTCGGAGAAGATGTATTCGGAGAAGGGGGGTATGCGGTTGGACCCAACCTCGCGAAAGTAGGATGCCTTTGAATGGCAGGCGAGTGAGCTGTTGCATTGTAGACATTTTTGTTGTTATAAGAACTTTTTTTTTTGGTGCTGGAAGGTAGTATAACTATCTACATGCTTGGTCGTCCGTTTATATAGTTGCTTGATCTCGAGGCTGACTGACTTAGCCCTAGTCTCAATCTGTGCATATCTGCCGCTCGTATTCTTTGTTATAAGTTAGCAAGGTATCCATAGATAGTGCTAATGATCCTTGATAACAGTCAATATTTAACTGTTCATACTCATCATAGGCCAACATTGTCCAAAATGTGAGGAATCTGCTTGCTCCTCACTTATTTGACTTCTGCATATACATCCAAGGCATCATGCAACTTTGCAAATATACCATCATGCCAGCTTCTTAATTCCTCCCATTCACTCGACGGCAAGGTCGCACGCATCATTCGCAACCATGCACCAACAATCAAGTCCGCATAGGTAGCTCTCGTTCCCATTATAAAGGGTCCGCTGTTGTCCCTCAGGAAGAGCTTGGCGAGCTCACCGAGCGTTTTCCGTAACCCCTCTTTTACCTTCTCCCGCGCCTCGCCGACAAGCGCAAAGTCATCCCAGGACGAAACACCTGCACGGCGGACAAACTCAGCTTTACTGATCTCAGCAGTGGCTGGGTCAAATGGGAACTCTTGGGTCGAGAGCTGCACATGTGTGCTGAATGCAGCGTCAACGTTGACGTTGAACTTGGCGTATTCAATGAATCCGCTCTGCGGCACCTCTGAGAGGGGCACTGCAATCTCAGAATCAGGAGTAAAAGTGTAGTCGAGCTTCTGATCCGGGAAGAGATCGCCAGCACCGGAATCTGGGTAGGTTTTCTGCAGGTAGACTGCGATATCGTAGGAGTCGCCGACAGCCGAGTTGGTGGCGGGGTCCTGGATAATGGGCAATGTGTAGAAGTCTGACCCATCAGCAAACTTGCGGACAGCGGGCACTTTGAGCCCACTACGCACTTTGGCTACGTCAGGCAGAGGCACCCATTTGGTCGTGTAAGGGACAGCTTTGAAGTTGAGGGCCAGACGAGCCTTCCATGGGTTTGGAGAGCAGCAGTTCTTCTCGACTGGCGGGCGCATTGCAATGTCATAGAAGACTATGGGCTGTGAATTAGAAGACATGGCGGGTAGTAGGTCAATAGAAGTCTCTCCCTTGCAGGTTGCTTGGTGTAAATGCAACTATAGGACTGTAAATTATGAGAACTGGATGGATGATTAGCTTGGTTGACTTGAATTGAAGATCTCTACGAGTTTATGTAGGTCGCCCAAATAAACTATGGGCGGCAAACCTTGGTGGTCCCATCAGGTTGACTCACTATGACTACTGGTGAGCAATACCGCGGCCCGCCATGCAGCCTCTTTAGGCGGTTGTCTCTTCGCTTTGATGATGCTGTAGAGCTGTAGATGCGACCTCCCTTGGCTGGAGAGTTGGGCAATGTAACGACCAGCCTCTCATCTTCTACCGGCGCGCAGGTGTGAGTGGGATGGACCTCGGCATTGCTCTGGAGACACTGCAAGGCAGGAAACTCCCGCATAATTAATTTGCTACTTAGCTGACGCCGGATCCTTGATTTAATTGTTAATAGTAATAAGCTATCCCGCTAGATCATCGCCATCTGCTCCATCTTCTGTACGTCATGACAAAGCAGGTAAATAGTAGGCAAGAATGCCCCCATTGAGGGGTTTAATAAGAAGAAAATCATTCGAGGACGCCAAAGTCGTACATGTTAGATATAACGTCAGTGTGGGTACATATCTGATCGACTAAACGGTTGGGTTAATCGACGGAGAGGCCGGCACACATGGAGATGTACGTATTTCCTCCAGCAAACATTGCGGAGTTTTTCTGTTTCAAGCCATAGCCTCTTGATGCATTCAAGGGCAGCCCGACAGTGGCAATAGGCTGCTAATCCACCAATTTTAGCCCATGGTCTGTATGCATCAGCGGAGGATGTCTGTCGGATTCTGCCATTTTTTTTTTTTTTTTTTTTTTTTCGTACTCGATTGTGATCAACTACGGGATAAGCCCGATGGTTTGCAGCCACCTGGCGACGGTAACCATAGGCTCGCCAGTTGTGAGCTTTGGCGACTATTTTCATCATGCAGAACGTGAACGCTATTCTGGCGCTCGGTGGTCGACGGCAACGATCTTCAAGCCGCGAGGTCACTGAGCCGTCATTTCGTCTTTTGGGCCCATGGCGTGTAAGGTGACTTCTTACCCGATCGGTCAGGCAGGCAAGGTCTGGTGGTCTAATCCTTCGCCCTCATTCCTTTTCCCATGCTCTTCCTCCCGCCTCTCCCTGTCTTCACATCCTCATTTCGTCTTTTCTCCCACTCTTCTTCTCTCAATGTTGTCCGTGTTGTCCATTTCGTTCTCTGTCGACGCCCAGAGAGGAAATGCAATAATACATCACGTGCCACTCACGGTCCCTTCCCGCCGTGTGGAGTCAGCGGGATGACTAAGCAGCACATGACCTCGTCATCCTCCCATCCCCAGAAGCGGAAAACGAAAGCAAAATCGCAAAAAACGGACGAGACAACCAGCAGACGCAGCGCCAGCATCACCGCAAAAGTCACTCCCAGGGCATCCAAGCGAACCAAGCACTCGAGTCAACCCGCCAGTTGGCCAGCATCCAGCGTGTCCCTTGTAGCCAACCACAGTGTTTCAGCCCCAGCCTGGCAAGCCCAGAGTGGAACACCTGGGCCAAAAGCGATCACGCTCGCCTCGCTCTTCTCTGCTTTCCTTTCAGTCATCGGATGCACCTCCAACCCCCGTTGCCATCAACCACCAACGGGTTCCCATCTCCATGCCCACTCACACATCGAACTGCAGAGCCGCCCCCCCTGACCTGATCTGACCTCCGCTCTGTCGTCTCCGCCGTGTTACATAACGCCCTTTACTCCGTAATTCTGTCTTTTACCTTTTAGCCGGAGTCGTAGGGCTGCCTCGGGCAAGCCCTGGTCTTAAACCGCCACGATTCCTCCATCACTCAAACCCTCGACCTCCTCCGCTTCCATACCTCTGCAGTCGATACAGACATCCCGGCCATCGTCTGAACAGTCCTCATCTCTCTTCGACGCCGATCGTGACAAACCAGGCAGCCGGCGGACCCCGTCTCCCACCCCGTCAGAGTCCAACTTTTCCGTCTGGTCGGATTCCGGTGACATCGCAGACCAGCTTGCCGACGAGGAGGATCCCTTACATCTTCAGCTGCGAGGGTCCCTCGACCTTCAGGTATTTGGGAAGTCAGGCCGACCGGATCCATCATCCGCAGCTCAGCCAAAACGGGTTCGCTACGAGGAAGACGAAGCTGGGGAGGAGCATACCCCGTTCGTCGACAACGGAGACCTAAAGGAGGCCATCCGAATCCCTGAGCCGGGCGCTAGAACCATTTCTAGAGCTGAGAGGCTTCTGGCTTCCATCATGTCGCCCCGGGATGGCAGGGCCAAAACCCACGGCCTCGTTGGGAAGCCGTTATTGTACGTCATTCCTTTTTTTTTTTTTTTTTTTTACTACTTCTGGTTACTATTTCTATGTTGGAAAACATTGCTGACAGGAATGAAGGTATTTTACTAGCATTTTCGTGTCGTTAGGCGTCTTTTTATTTGGATATGATCAAGGCGTTATGTCCGGCATTATTACGTATGTTCATCGTCATGCCCTCTCCCACTCGAAAATCAAAATCGACTGACAAACGTAGGGGTCAATATTTTAAAGACTATTTCAACCAGCCAACTCGTGCAGAGATCGGCACCATGGTAGCCATTCTCGAAGTAGGAGCATTCATATCCTCACTCCTCGTGGGGAAAATCGGTGACATAATCGGTCGTCGACGAACTATTCTCTACGGTTCCATGGTCTTCTTTGTCGGTGGTGCCTTCCAGACATTTGCTACGGGAATTCCTATGATGCTTGTAGGCCGTATCGTAGCTGGTCTAGGTGTTGGTGCCCTCTCCACGATCGTTCCTGTTTATCAATCTGAGATCTCTCCACCTCACAATCGGGGCCAACTCGCGTGTATTGAGTTTACGGGGAATATTTGTGGGTACGCCGCCAGTGTCTGGGTTGACTACTTTTGCAGCTACATCCAGAGCGACTTTTCTTGGCGCCTACCATTATTCCTCCAGTGTGTTATGGGTGCACTCCTCGGGTTTGGAAGCTTGATCATCTGTGAATCTCCTCGGTATGTCTTGATGTCTTTGGTTTTTTTTAGTCGCACAGTCTGTTAGTCTAACTGCTTGTGGAATAGGTGGCTTTTGGACCATGATCATGATGAAGAGGGTATGGTCGTCATTGCCAACCTGTACGGTAAGGGCGACCTTCACAACGACAAAGCTAGACAGGAATACCGTGAGATCAAGACCAATGTTCTCGTCACACGACAGGAAGGCGAGCGGACATACACAGACATGTTCAAGCGTTACTACCGGCGTGTCTTTATTGCGATGTCTGCTCAGGCCTTCGCCCAGCTCAATGGTATCAACGTCATCTCGTACTATGCTCCCCTTGTGTTTGAATCCGCCGGCTGGGTTGGCCGGGACGCCATCTTGATGACCGGAATCAATGGCATTACCTACCTACTCTCCACGATCCCGCCATGGTATCTCGTTGATAGATGGGGTCGCCGGCCAATTCTCTTATCGGGTGCTATATTGATGATCATATCCCTCTCTGCCATGGCCTACTTCATCCATATCAATATATCCTACACTCCGGCCCTGACTGTCATATCTGTCATGATATACAATGCTGCCTTTGGCTTCTCGTGGGGTCCCATCCCATGGCTCTACCCTCCAGAGATCCTTCCGCTCAGCATCCGTGCAAAGGGTGCAAGTTTGAGTACAGCAACGAACTGGGCATTCAACTGGCTTGTCGGAGAGCTCACTCCTGTGCTACAGGAGGCCATACACTGGAGACTCTACCTCATGCATGCCTTTTTCTGTGCCTGCAGTTTTGTTGTCGGTAAGTTATCCTTCTTTACGGGCTGTACGATGGACCGGCTTATAACTAACTCGTCTTAGTATACTTTCTTTACCCTGAAACTAGCGGTGTTCGTCTTGAGGACATGGAACTTATCTTCGACGATGCTCAGTCCGCCGCTCCTACTCCCGCCAGCCAAGCTGAGCGCGGTTCTCTCATGGGAGGCGTTGGATCACCATCATCATTCGACATTCGGCGAGGCAATGAATCTGGTGGACCATCTATTCCTAACTTGCATCTCAACCCACCTACTCCCAGGCCTGGTTCCATGGCTAGTGAGGTCGGTAAAGCTGCTGAGGGTGAACAACAGCTGACCCAGTCGAAGGAAGGCGGTATTGGGACATGGATTTCCAGTCTTATTAACCGCGGTAAAGACAAGAGGAACAGAGGTGATCACAGTCAATATCGTCAGATCGGACAGCATGAAGACGAGTAACTATAAATCTCCTTTCTTTTTCTCTCATCTTTATCTTTTCAGGCGTTTGCATCGAAGCTCAATAGAACGCATACCTCTGGACCAAGTTGCTTTCATTTGTCAAGGCTGAGTTACTCGTCTCCGCCCTTAATTCAACCGTCTTAACCATCAGTTAGATATCTAACCATCCCATCTATCTTTACTCTCCCCTTTATCTCCTTTTCCCCCCCCTTTGCAAACTGTTCTTATACCAGCCTTTCGGCATCCGTCGTGAAACTGGGTTTCATGTGGGATGAGGCCTGCAATGTATGCTACTTTTCCTTTCTTTCTTTTCCTTCTGTGTCCATATCAACCATCATCACCCTTTCTCTTGAATCTCGGAAATGGGGTACACCGTCACTGGCATCGTCTTTCTTCGGTTGATCATGATCTTCATATATACAAGCGCACACGCACAAACACAACACAACCACACATTGTCCTTATGAAGAGCTTATCGGGGTTGGTATAATACGGCAACTCGAATAGACGTGGGCAACTATGAATCACTTTCTACTTTTGCTGCATACCCAGTGTGGATATATTTATATAATATCTTCTACAGCTCTGGAGGCGAAGGGTAAGCTCCCAGCCATGTCGCAGGTTTAGGCTAAGTCAGGGTAGTTTCAAGCTTCAAAGGACAAGCGGAGGTAAGATGTACATCGGTATAGACTGGTAGTTAGCATATGCCTTGTGCTATACTCTGTAATGGAAGATGCCTCGCTCTCATCTCTATCCTCTGGCTATCTAAGTATCCAAGTATCTAAAGAGTAATCTATCCTTTAACTGTCTTATCATCGTCCTCATCCTCATCATCATCCTCATCGTCTTCTACATTGATATCACCTATCACGTGACTCTTCAACTGGCCACCGTCGACTCTTTTGCTTCTTCTTCTTCTTCTCCTGAAGCTTTTGTGGCCTCGCTGCAGCTTTCTGTCCTTCTATCAGCCATCATTTCACTTTTTCGTCCTCTTTTTCTTTTCTTGCCGTCCTTCTTCGCGCGCTTTCGTTTCAGCGACTGCTTTAACGCTGTACGTGGCCTCGTCCAGCCTCCGCCCTTAGAGTTCCGCCGTCAGCCCCTTTTTTCTATTTCTAGCTCTGCCTTAGCCGCAACTCTGTGTCTGGGATCCCAGGCCACTTTTCTTCAGCCATCAACCGGAAACCAGAGACGCCTTTCGCTTCTTCTGCTTCTTCTTCTGCTTCTTCGTTTCTTCTTCACTCCCATTGCAAGCTTGCTGGAAGGGTTTGTTTCCGTTCTTTCGTTAAGAGGGATGTTTTAATCGAGTCGTGGTGGTTCATCTTCCTTCTCATCCACTACCTGTTTTATCCCGTTTAAATAACTTGGCCACGGTCTTTTTTTTTCCATTTCTCTTCTATCTAATCCCAATTTAATACCTTTTCACGACCGACCGGACCGGCTCTTCGTTGGCTCCCCAAGAATGGCGGCCGACGATAGAGCGTTTGCTTCTGGCACCTCGCCGAACACAGACTTAAGGAGGAGAAATGTGCCTGGTGCAGAGAAGAGCAGTGCCAATGTCCCAATTCCCAGCATTGAAGTCGACGGGAAGAAACTGAAGGAGAAGGTATGGCAGTCTCTTGAAACTGGATAGGAGCCTTAAGTGATTTGCTTGTACGGCATGCTAACCTACTACCTGTTCGCTTACATAGTCCCCCTCCTTCTGTGAGATTCTCGATGACTTGGAAGTGTTCATTGCCCCATTGATCTTCACTGCTCTGGCTTGCTTCACTCGTTTGTGGCGCATTGGTCTCTCAGATATCGTTACGTGGGATGAAGCTCAGTAAGAAACCGAGATTGATCCCTTTTCTATACAGGTTTTGGGTATATGGTTACTGATTGATATCTGCTGCGTCGCTCTAGTTTCGGGAAATTTGGTTCATACTACATCAAACGAGAATTCTACTTCGATGTCCACCCTCCGCTGGGTAAAATGCTTATTGGATTGTCGGGTTTCCTGGCTGGTTATAACGGATCTTTCGAATTCAAGTCTGGCGAGAAATACCCTCCGGAAGTCAACTACACCTTCATGCGTATCTTCAATGCTTTCTTCGGTATCATGTGCGTTCCACTTGCGTACTATACTGCGCGAGAACTGAAATTCCGCCGTCCAGCCGTATGGCTTATCACCCTGATGGTGCTTTGCGAGAACTCCTACGCCACGATTTCCAGATTCATCCTTTTGGATTCTATGCTTCTATGCTTCACCTTCACCACTACCCTTTGCTGGGCAAGATTCCACCGACTTCGACATGAAAGCTTCTCCCCCGAGTGGTATCTCTGGCTCATCCTCACTGGCCTGAGCATTGGGTGTGTCTGCAGTGTAAAATGGGTCGGACTCTTCTGCACTGCACTGGTCGGTCTTTACACTGCTGAAGATCTCTGGCACAAGTTTGGAGACCTAAAAATGCCAAAGGTACTCAGGCCCTTTACCCGGATGTTACATTCCGTAGTTGCTAACTATTATGCATAGACCGTCCTTGCTCATCACTTGGGAGCCCGTGTTTTCGGTCTGATCATCGTTCCATTCTTGGTCTATATGTTCTCCTTCTACATTCATTTCCTCGTGCTTGAGAACTCTGGCACCGGTGACGCTCAGATGAGCTCTTTGTTCCAAGCTAACTTGAGGGGTACCAATGTTGGCAAGGACAGTCCTCTTGAGGTCGCCATTGGATCCAAAATCACACTTAAGAATATGGGATACGGAGGTGGTCTACTACACTCTCACGTTCAGACTTATCCCGAAGGATCGGGCCAGCAACAGATCACTTGCTACCACCACAAGGACTCTAACAACGACTGGTTCATCTATCCGAACCGTACTCAGCCGGATTATAATCCAGAAGGTCCAATTGCCTTTATTGGTGATGGTGACGTGATCCGCCTTATCCACGCTCAGACCGGCCGCAACTTGCACTCTCACACCGTGGCAGCTCCCGTCACCAAGGCTCAGTATGAAGTGTCTGCCTATGGAAACACCACTGTTGGTGATGCCAAGGACCACTGGACCATCGAGGTCGTCAAAGACGTTGCGTCAAGAGACAGGTCGAAAATCAGAACTCTTACCACTGCCCTCCGCCTGCGCCATACTGTCTTAGGCTGTTATCTCAGAGCTGGCGGTGTTAGCTTGCCTCAGTGGGGTTTCAAACAGATTGAGACTACCTGCACCAAGGAGAACCGACCATGGGACGTGTATACTCACTGGAACATCGAGTCGCATGTGAATGAAAGACGTATGTACTTCTTTTCTCTCCTTTTATAACTTTATAACATGGGCTCTTTATACTAACATACCTGATATACAGTTCCTCCAAGTGAACCAGGCACTTACAAGTCGCCCTTCCTCAAGGATTTTATCCATCTGAATGTTGCTATGATGACGTCCAATAACGCTCTTGTCCCAGATCCAGATAAGCAAGATGACCTAGCATCGAAGTTCTGGCAATGGCCCATTCTTAATGTTGGACTCCGAATGTGCTCCTGGGACGACAATGTCGTCAAGTACTTCCTCCTTGGTAACCCATTCGTCTACTGGGGCAGTACCCTGAGTTTGGGTGTTTTCAGTCTACTCGTCCTCTGGTATCTGCTTCGCTGGCAACGCGGCTATGACGAACTCAGCATGGCCGACATCGACCACATCCACTATTCCGGCATTTACCCCATTGTGGGCTGGTTCCTCCACTACCTCCCCTTCATGATCATGGCCCGTGTCACCTACGTCCATCACTACTACCCGGCCTTGTACTTTGCTATCTTGACCATGGCTTTCTGTATTGACTGGTTCACTCAGAAGCTTAACCGGAAGGTCGAGTGGGCCATCTATTCAGTCCTCTATGTTGTTATTATCGGCCTGTTTGTCGTCTTCAAGGACATCGTTTTCGGCATGGAAGGCTCAAACCAGCAGTGGAAGAGTCTCAATTGGTTGAGCAGTTGGAAGATTGCCAACCGATAGACGAAAAAAAGGACATTTCAATTCACAACCATCACAACTAGTGCTGGCGAAGAAGTCGTCAGCAGATGAAATGAAAGATCTTCCAGATGGAGCTTTGCTGCCTTGTTATGATTGTAACGGATCAGGGGACTTGGGAAGTTGCTCTAGAGAGGCTATTGATGGCTACACGCCCGATAAAATATAGCAGTAAAAGACTGGAACTTTTTGTATTTTAATAAACGCTTCTCTTTTCGTTATATAAAATAAATTGGTTCCAATGAAATAAATACTAATCATAAAATCGACGAATAATTCCTTCCAGCCTCAAATCCTACCCATGCGCCTATTCGATCTTCTCATGAGTCGAATCTAGTTCTTGATGCTGTTCCGGCTCAGCAGAGGAACCGGCTTTGTCAGGACTGATATCTGGAAATCATGGTCATATTCCCAAGACCCAGCAGGAAACCATTTGCAGCTCAAAACCTCATACCCTCTTCTCTTCCAATACGCCTCCGTAAGATCAGTCCTGGTTCTGACCCAGAAGGTCAAGGGCGAAGTATCCCTGGGCATGCCCGTTTCTTGCTCTCGCTGCTGTGCAGCGGCATCTATCCGTTCTAAAAGATCGTCCTCTAGCATCTGTACACAACGAATAGCCAACCCTTTACCCTTCAGCGAGTCATCAAACGGCATGACAGATACACATGCTGGCTCCCAGTGTTTTATGGCGAGCAAGTCGTCAGGTTCCGGGTCGTATCCTAAGGCGTGGAAACAATTAGCCAGGGGGTTCTTTCTTTGCTTTTGCCTGTGGCACGGCCAGTTGAGATCGCAACCTTTGGGGTAACTATAAATTCACGACCAAGGGTACAGTTTATAAATGTGATAGCACGGAGTATGGGGATATAACATACCGATGCCCTTCTCGATGTCGCCGTCTAGTTCTCCCTCGATGGGCTGAATGCCGAGATTCGGCTTAAAGAATTTTATCACCGCCGTCGCAATGGGTTCGTTGAGATCGACCTTACGCTCCTCTTGATCGGCTGGAGCAGTGATGCCGTTGGTTCCATTGTCGATGCCACGGCCATTTGTGCCGTTGGTGTGGCAATTGGGTTGTTGCTGCTGCCGGCTCTCTTTCGGCTTGTATCTGAACAGGATGGCTATTCGGCCATGCTTGCCAATCCACGGAATGATCTGCTCTGGGGAGTTAAACCGGCCCTTTTTACCGTCTGAGTTGACAGCGACGCCGTCATCACGCCTGAATGCGAAATTTATCAGTCTCAGCACTCGGGGCAAGCAGGGATGGCGGAGCAGCTCGTCTACGTCCAGCATCAATGAGCCGAACTCCTCGCAGGAGCCTTTGGACAACGCAGCAGTCGCTGCCATGGCTCTTCGAGGGCTGTTTACTGGTTAATTGACGGAGGTATAAAAGGGTATGTCCAGTTGTTAACGGTTAAATAGGAGGGATTGGGTCAATGACGGATTGAAGCCCTGGGACAGCATGGATATGCCGGGACTGTCAGGGAGTCTCCTTCGTTCCCACAGCCGCTTCGACGTGGGGTGTATGCAGGCCTTTAAAGACAGTCTCGATTCCCAGACTGTGACTCATGGCAAAAGGAAGCGTTATCGGGGTATCCACTGAGTTGGATACGAGGACTTGAGGGTCGGAAGTTTGGCTAGTTCGTCTCTTTAAGTGTTTGCATTGCTCCCAATATGGATGTAACTAAACTTCCGAGCCACAATGCCCCAACTCCAGGTATATGCATGTTTGCGTTCTCCGGACCTCGGGGGAGCGAAGGGCGTGCGATCTACAGGCATTTGAAGGCTGATGCAACTGTGATAGCAAGGGGCGAAGTTGGCAGAGATGCAGATGGAACTGAGCTGGTCGGTTGCAAATACCGAATGGGGCCCTCCTAGGCCGGGAGAATAAAGATAGTTAACTATCAGATACAGGCAATGCAAACGCTCGGTAACCTTGTCCTTGAAAAAAACACAGTACCGGGAAGCTGTTATTGGTAAGAATGGAGACAATAGATCTTTCGCTACAGGTACCAGCCCACGCTTCTTGTGAGTAACGCAGCTTGAAAGGGGCAACATGAATAATGATACTGGGAATAGGGAGGGAGCAACATGGTCAAACGGCCTGTGCAACGACAACGGGGCCACCCAAGCTTATGATAGAAATCGATGTAGTTTAACCTTGAAACATCCAAACTTCCCTTTGACAGCTTACAAATCATTCATTGGCTCCTTTGGTTCACGACGCTGCGGGCTTATAGATCTCTCTCCTCGCTTTGATGGCGAAAGACGTCGTAGAAACCCTCCACATGACTTGAGCAACCGTCTTCGTTTTGATTTGACTTGAGGATGTCGACGCAGCGAATCCTCCTGTGTCTGTTGGATTGCTTTAACGGCTAGGGATGATTAGTAATACGTTCTAAATAGGTTCAATCCTATGCATAACATACCTTCAAAGAGTTGCTGTATTTTACGGTCAACTTGGGGCGGTGAAAGGTCAGCCTCGATCAGTGCAGCGACGATGTACCAGTACGGTTTGGTCCAGCCCTTCACTCCTTGATTGGGATTTGCTGACGGAAACAACGAAAGCAATCTATGAAAGAGACTGCTACGTTCTTTTTGGCCATAGCTAAACTTGTTATTTTCGTCCCACTCGTCACAAAAAAGGCCCTGTGGAAGGGGTAAGGAGAAGCCAACGACAAGTTGGTTAGCCAGAAAGCTCATCCCCATACGGTATTGTAGGGCAGACTCAATCCGGCCAAGTTCACCAGGGCTGAATTCTCTTTTCCGAGCAAGGAGATCAAAACATTGTTGATGTAGCATAGTATTTGGAGACAGAGAATCCCGGCCAGGAAAGCTTTGAAGGTATTTTCTAGCGAGTCGGCGAAGTCCTGTTATATATGACGATGAAGAACCATATTCACCTCTCATATCGGCTAGTGTGGTGTTGTCTATTTCTGTGTCTTCAGCCAAGGGGTCTCGATTTAGAAGTGTTGTTGGGCGTGCCTCAACAATATCTAAGCTATCCCACTTTGACTGGAAATCAGCTAGAGGAAAACCTGTTCTCTTACGCCAATGACTTTCCCAGTCGTCATTTTGCGCACTGAATCGAATGTCATGGTGATACCCAAGTCTATCGATACTAGTTAACAGCAGTTGATGTACTGTCCGGGCAAATTCAGAAAACGTCTTTGATTGCATCTCTGGAATGATAGACTCGTCTTGGGTAGAAGCAGTAGCAATATCAGAGGAGGTTTGCTGTGAAGAAAGTTCTTGTTGTTCAGTTGAGGTCTCCATTGCGAGTGCTTTGATTAAGGTTGAGGCATAGATGCTTCCACAGGCCCGAGAGAGCGAAGAACTCCTCGCCCACGATTCGCTGGGCTCATTGTCTCTAGCAGCAGATAACACAGTTGCGTCAAGTATTGAGGTAACCGCCCAGCCACCGGAGAAACAAGCTGTTGAAATTACAGTCAGGTCAACACTCGGGTCAACGATGTCTGCAACCATCGATATACTCACGTCGTTTTCGCACCCTGTGGTGTATGAGAAATCTACTTCATCACTACTAGCATCGCCCCCAATAGTGACTGACTTTGTGATTTCGTCGCCATGAGCAAAGATGAAGAGGATGAGCGGCTGCTTTAACCGTAGGGCCAACGCGGATTCTTCGCGCAGGATGTCAAGGAAACTCGACAAGAGAGTAGAAGAAGGTATCACACGCACGTCGTCGAGCTCTGTTTCGAGAAGATGTTGATTGAGAACTACACGCCGTTGGGTATACGGGTTTCCATGTAAATAAGGGCCATACTTGTGGAGTAGTGCAGACGGCTGATCGCTGCAGCACCAAGTCTGTGACGCGCCCTGCCCGTGCAGAAGGGTGTGAAACGCGAAAAAATCAGAATAAAACCAGCCATCTTGGGTTGGGCTGGCTGCATCGTCGAACGCGTCGCTGATTCCACAGACTGCAAGAATTCGAGTGTTTGACCCGACGTCTGGGGGAGAATTCATCACAAAAGAGGCCATGCGCTTCATGGAGCCGCGCCGGTCTCTGAAGAAGCCCCCAAACGTGTCAGGGAACCCTTGACGAAAACCGCTGAGTCTCTCGGCGTTCGAGCTTGCTTCCATCTTGGCCTTTTGCTTGTGCTTGTAGCCCTGGGCTCGGATTGGTACGGAGTCGCGATGGGGTAGACAAACGGTGTGTGGCGGTTGGATGCGCGAGATGTTTGTGGAGTAGAGAAAAAAAAAAAAAAAAAAGAAAAAGAAAGAAAAAGAAAAAGAAAGAATATTTATCCTTGTACCTTAGTCAGCATTTGTTTAGTCAGCACAGTAGAGATAGTCCTCGATTCAAGATGGAGAACAAGATATTATTATTATTATTATATTAGGGGGATTGTCTGAATGTTTATGTCGTCGAAGATGGAAGAAGAGCTTCTTCAAGCCATGTAGAGTAAAGTAGATGCATATAAATAAAATTAAAATATAATAGTAAAACAAGCAGAGGCAGAAAGGAGCTGAAAAAGAGCCTGAAGGACAGGGCACGTAAAAAAAGGGGGGTATAAAGCAAGTATGTATATGGTTTAACAGCATCCGCCAGTCCATCCACGATTGCCTCTGCGCATGGCATCGTTGACACCTAGATTGACTGTCCGCGGTACACGCCCGTTGCCGGGCCCGGCTGAGGCACCGTAGCCCTTGACTCCGCTCCGCCGGTCGTTTAAATCGTATCTACCATGCTGTATGTTCCTGTATATTCGTTCAGCCACTTCTCGGAACGCCCGCTCGACATTCTCCCCTGACTTGGCGCTGGTCTCGACGTATCTGACGACATTGTTCTGTCTGCACCATTCTTCGGCTTCTTCACGGGTGACACGCTGTGTCTTATTACTTTCATTATCAGCATTATCATTGTCGGGGTTGTCGGCGTCCTTTTCTTTGCCCTTGGAGTCGACGAGGTCGCTCTTGTTGCCCACCAGTATGACCACGATCCGCTCTTCGGCAATTTGTCGCAGGTCTTGAAGCCATTGGGTCAACGAGGCGAATGTCGGGGGCCGAGTGATGTCGAATACTAGCAGGGCGCCAGATGCACCGCGGAAATAAGACCTTGTGATGGACTTGTATGTTTCCTGGCCTGCTGTGTCCCAGAGCGAGAGCTTCATCCGTTTCTGGACCGGTGGCTCTGAGGGCTTGGTGGGAGGTGGAGGGAGTCCCGAGAGGCTCCGTGGGGACGGCGGTACGGATTTGTCGCCGGTGAGCTTCCCGTTCTTATTGGTATTATGGCTGTTGATGGTACCTGTGAAGGAGGCCGAGGGCGAGAGAGCGGACGGAGTCGATGCGAGGGAGGTGTTGTCAAAGTTGATCCCTATCTCGTCAGACGCCGGCGGGCCAACAGGCACTATCCTCGAGCCGAACTCTACCCCGATAGTCACATCGTGGGTGGTGCTAAAGCGGCCCTCGCACAGGCGAACAGTGAGCTGTGAAGCAAGGCAGGTTAGCGATCGCAGCAACAAACGCACGAGGCATCAGGGGGGAGGAGGAAAGCAATTGAGGGACCGAGAATGGAAGATGGACTTGCGCACACTTGATTTACCTGTGCCTGAGTCACCGATACAGACGAGCTTCGCAATGAAATCCCATGGTGGGCTTGACATGAAAGCAGGCTCCCACTCGGTGCTTTTTCCTTTGCGTGAAGAGGGGGGGGGGGGGGGGGGGGGCGGTTGGCCGGTTGGCGAGTTCTTGCTGTGATAAAACCGTCAACACAACAAGGCCGAGGGAGCACCCGGGACCTTGGAAGAAAACCAGCAGGCTATTACGCCGTCTGAGGGGAAGAATATGGTTAAAATCGTGGGGTAACGAGAGCAAAGAGGCGTCAACTATAGATTGGGTTGAAGATTGGGCATCGAACTCGGCGAGGGAGATAGTTATTTTATATAGGGTACCAAGGTAGAGGTAGCTTTGACGTGCAGCTGACTGACGGCAGCGGCGAAACAAGTGCCGGCCAAAGAAAAGAAAAAGGCGGACTTGGATCTATGGAGGAAGAAACAGAAGAAAGGAAGAGGAGAAAGAAGAAAACTGCCGGCGAAGAAGAAGCGACTGTTGAGTGTGTAGTTATTATTTGTCTGTCTTTTGCGGAAGAAGCAAGCAAGTTGGGTAAAGCACGAGAGAGAAGCGACAGGAAGCAAAGAGGGCGCAAGGAGGAGAATGAGGCGGCTTGCTCCCTCCCCCTTGCGGCCTGGCCCTGGGGGGCCCTGGACGAGGTACTACGGTGTACTCCAGCAGCGGCAGCTAGTAGGGAGGATACCAGGGAGGTACTTCGGCTGCGACAAGCTGCTGCCGAACGTCATCTCTCCCAGGAAGAAGAAAACATAAGAATAAAACATGGAGCAGAAGAGACACAAAAAGGTGTGTCGTCTTGTTCAGCCTTGGGATACGAGGAGAGAGAGGCTCTGAGATCTCTCACACGGCATACCTGGTCCGCCAGCTGCTTTTCAGGTTTCATCCGCGCGAGGACAGCCTACAAGGCAGGATGGACGGCCAGCTCGACTCTCCTAGCAACTCTTCTGGCACTACTCTCGCACCTCTACCGTCCTGTGGCCCTGAAGTTATCCGTGAACCGCGAAGAAGGGCCAGCTCTTCTTCTTCTCCTCGGAAGTTGATGCCGCGTCTATTCCAGCTCACTAATGCATGCTGCTACTGATTGCTTGCTTGCTTGCTGGCTTGCTTGCTGCTGCGAGAAATGGGGCTTGGTGGCAAAACGTAGATAGCGGGAGAAACCTGTCTGACTTCTGCGGAGTCCTTGCAGCTCCTGTCTGAAGGTCGATCGTAGAACCGTCTCGATGTATCAAGGCGCCGATGAAGCTGAAGAGGACGGCTCGGCCGCCGTCCGAGGGGCGTTCAGTCGATGCGTTAAATAAAAGACCGGCAGCCCTTTGCATGGCGGGATTCAATAACGTTGAATTAATTATTATTACTGACGCTGCTCTAACCCCTCGGGCAGCTGGTAGGCCATGTTATCTGCGAATATGACTTGTGTTTAGCTTCGAGTCGGGACGTTGGGATGACCGTCTCACTAGCAACTAGTTAACCTAAGTAGCACTGCCTAGCGAGCTCTTCCGCTGACCCAGGACTGATGACTCGCGCTCCAGGCACCGACTGACGCTGCCCACGGCCAGGCAGCAGCCACGGCCACATGTCGAGTGCACAAGTCCTGTCATTGTCATCGTCATTGTCATTGTCATCGTCGTCGTCGTCGTCTTTTTCTCCCGCCGAAAAGTGCATGTCAGGTGACAGCGGCACATGACCGGAGACTTGCTTACCTCAGCATATCGTCACCGTCACTTCGTCTTCGCTTTCGCTTCGTCGAAACTTCGAACTTCGAACTTCGAACGTCTCAACTTCGTCGTTTTGGCCTTTGGCTTGTCGGATTCTCGGCTTCACTCTCAGCGTGTCCCTTGTCTGCGGCTTCTGGGAGCCCTGCGCTGGAGGAGGAGTCTGCGGTGCTGTGCTGCCTGCTCTGGAGGCTAACTACTGCTGTATATTGCTTCTTAAACCTTCCGAGCGCTTCTCAATAGTAAATGACATAAAACAGCCGCTGCTGCGCACACACACAGAGAGCTCCCGACCAGACCAGACGCTTCTCTTCTCGGCCATAGATGGTCTCTGGTATGAGTCAATCTGCGATCCATGATACGAGATAAGCTTGTTTGCGAAGAAAGAGAGCTGCTGGTATAGAAGAGCTGGGTAGCCTCTCATACGTCACAGACAAAATCACCGACCACACGCCGCCTACCTACCTCCCCTGGAGTGAATCATGTTTTCAGAATGTGCGATACCTCTCCTATACCTCTCTTCTTACTGTCACTAAAGCATTTTTGCTAATATGTACTCTAGATGCGTCCCGTTTTCTCTCACAGTCACAGTCCCGAATAGCACCCGGAGACAGCTCTCCCCCACGGGAATTTGGGGATCGAAGCCGGAGGCCTGATCGACAGGCCACCCGCCCACCTCCGTCACGGCCTTATCTGCAACGGGCGCTTGGGAATCCTTATTCCTCGACAGCTTCTCAGACTTTTGCATTCTCACCGCGGTCATCCGTGCATCACGCACCGCTTTTCCACAGCAATAACGAGCACCTTCCCGAGGAAGACGACGAGCGAGATGCTGCTGATTTTTATGCCCTGCAGAGATCAAGGCGGCATTTTGGCGCAAGCAGACTAGCAGAGTCATCCGAAGGGGACGAAGGAGAGGACAGTAAACACTCGGAACACAGTACAGGCCAGGAAGATGAATATAGTAGAGGAACGGGGATACGAAGCTCGTGGCATGGGAAGGCATCTGTTATCGGGCCGGCAGGGAAAACAGCTACCAAGTCACTGGAAGAACAGCCGGAAGAAAATGAGGAAGATGTGTCCGAAGGGAGCCCCAGCTCCGGGAAGGGTAGAATGGTCGAGGTTCGACTAGAGGACTCGATAAAGACAGACGCTGTGAACGTTGATTATGACGACGATGACCCGCCTCCGGAATTCACTGCTGGTGGACCACCGATACGCCAATTCCAAAATCAATCAAGTCACCTGGGTGATGATGATGATGATGAGTTCCAGACCAATGCTGGATTTATAGACCGAGAGTCCGACAAGCAGGCCTTGTTAAACAACGCTAGACCACCGAGCTCCATCGCCTCTGAGATGCCTACTACGTCGATGGCCCGTGGAGATCCTGAACCTCCAATGCATGACATGTTTTGGGGACATATGTTCTTACTTTGCTTGAGTGGCCTATTCGCTACCTCGTTCATTGTATATCTTCACACTACAGCTCCCACTAAACTCCCGCTCCTCGGAGACACCATCTATGCCACTCTACACTCTTCTTTCGGCCTCCTAGGAACATATACAATCATCTCAATATTTGTGGCCTTGCTCTGGCTAGCGCTGTTGCGGTCCTATGTTCGGCCTCTGGTCTTTACCATGCTAATTGCGGTTCCAGTCATCCTTATTTCCTTCTCATTATACCCTTTCATTTCTAGTTTCAAAGGCACCTGGCATGGGTCTAGTATCCAGGATAAGGTAATGCGCTGGGGGTCGATAGTGCCTGCGGTCATGGCTGCAACCTGGATCTACTCCGTTGTTAAGGGCAGACACGCAACAGGCAAGGCAATTGATATCCTAGAATTCTCATGTCGTATATTAGCTGCGAACCCGGCACTGCTTCTCCTAGGATTCGCCACGATAGCCCTCATTGCGCTCTGGAGTTGGGCATGGATACTCATGTTCACCCGCGTCTTCCTCGGTGGACATCTCGCATCTGGAGGCAAAAGATTCTTCATCATCGATATCGGTACATGGTGGCTAGGCGTCTACTTTATTCTTGTTTACCTCTGGTCCCTCGGCGTTATTGCAGGCATCCAACGGACTACCACTGCCGCCGTCGTTAGCCAGTGGTATTTCCACCGCAACGCCACGCCTTCGCCTACATCTCACGACGTAATTCGTGCTGCCTTCACTCATGCCCTTACTACTCTGTTTGGAACGATATGCCTTTCAACATTGCTGTCCCTTCTTGTCCGCATTCCTTTAATCGTCCTCCCGCGCCGTATATCATCTATGCTATCATTAGTTGCCTACTCTTGTGTACCCACGCCAATTGCCGCTCTCACCAACCCTCTCACATTAACATATGCTGCCATTCACTCCCAGCCTCTAGTCGCTTCAGCGCGCAGCCTCAACCAGATGGTCTTCCTAGCCCCCTCAGCCGCAACGGCCATGACGTTCCATCCACGAACATTCTCCGACGCAAGTCGTACAGACTATTACTCTTCTACTTTAATGCCATACCGTCTGGCCAAGATGCTTCTACACGCTACCCGGTTCATGATGTCTCTTGCCCTTGGTTTCGGGGGCTGGGTATCTACTGCCCGTAGTCTGCAGGTCTCTGGTGCAGATGGTAGCAAGGGCTCTACCATGCGTGGCAGCTTGTACGCCTACATTGTTGGTTTGATCGCGGGAACGATTGGATGGGGCGTTCTATCTGCCATGGAAGGAGTTCTTGCCGGCGTCGTCGATGCCGCTGTCGTTTGCTGGGCGAGTGAAGTCGGCAGTGTACGACGAGAGGCCCGCTACTGCCGTGAGGCCGGACATCTATTTGGCGGCGGCAGTGCGGACCGTATGGATATAGAGGACAGGTCACCGCGGTTTGACTAGTGGTTGTAGTCCGCTGACCTGCTCGCGGGGCGTCACCTCCCCCCTTTTTTTGGAATCCCGTCTTTGAAATATACGGGTGTGTCGAGGCTATTGCCATCATTAGGGGTCTTCTTTGATTTGCCATGCCATGCTTTGCTTTGCTTTTGTTTCAATTATGGTATTTTTTTTGTTAAACATTGCATGAGCGGGGGAGTACCTGTAAATACAGCTTTGCTTCTTTTTTAAGCCACCATGTCTTTAGTGTCATTATTCACCCAGAAATTGAAAAAGTATCAAATTATCACTGTTTATACTACTTATATATCTACGAGCATGTTAGTTGGAAGACGTAGAGACAGAGAGATCGAAGAAGTATTATCATATCTAAGGTCAACGTGTGGTAAATAATACACTCACTCCAGGGAGTAAAAGAAAAGAACAGACAACACCATCATTTCTGAGGTCGCATATTCAATTCATCGCAGAAACCATTTTTGTTTTGCCCCCTTTTCATCCTTTCTTCACAGGCAGATAAAATAAATCAGCACCCAGCCATCCGTCCTTTCATCCACCCCCACGCCCTGTTGCGCAATACTCCAGGCAAAATTAACAGAAAAAAAAAGGTGAAGTAGATAAGTTGGCAAGCAAGTAAATTGAAACAAGTCATCAAGGACGGTACGAGTGATGAAAAGGAAAAGGGGGGTAAGTAATTGAAAAGGAAAGGAAGTAAAAATAGCGCTGGTAAAACAAGCAGTGGCAGCAGTAAGCGGCAGGTCTGAAGGGCAGTGATCTTTCTTGGTATCGTGTCATTGATTAAAGAGGAGAATGGGCAAAGAAAATATTGAAGATAAAGTAAGCAGGCCGAAGCAATGGTATCGAGTGTTTGAAGGAGCAGGCTGAAAAGTAAAGTAAATAGGAAAATATGACTGTAGACGTAGGCTGATGATGGCTAGGCTAAATGAGACGAGACAAGATCAAAAGGATGGAGAACGAACGGGGAAACGGGGGTATCAGGCCGTAAATCTCAGGGAGATGGATAGAAATATTCTAATAATGCTAAAAAAAAAAAAAAGGGGGGGGGGGGGGGGGGGGGCTGTTAAGAGAAAGAGAAAGAGAGAAACGGTTAGAAGGCGGGTAGCGGAAAGAGGCTGCTACAGGCCCAATCCCAATCTACCCTTCCACTTGACTCCTTCTCTCTCACTCCATTCATTCAGGAAAGCCCAGGCAAACCGTACTGCTTCAAGGGGTGTTGATGCGGTGCCCAGCGGGAGGTAAAAGTCGCCTCCGTACTCGCCTAGTTTAAGCTGTTCTCTTCCTCGATCGGCGGAATTTTTCAATCGTTTTGACCAGGTGTTGGGATAATGCTGCGTGAGGACCGAATCAGACAGCTCGCGGGATCCTTCGAGCCATAAGCGACGGGCAACCTTATACGATTCAGGAAGTCTGGTTCTCAGCTCCGCGAACTCTCGTCGCTGTTTCTTGGTTTCTTCGCTGGTTACGGTGTTGCCGTCACTGCCGGGGGTAGGGGCAGGACTATGTTCATCCGGGAAGGGAGTGGTTGCTAATCGTTCGAGGTCGAGAGAATGAATGGAGTCGTGACATACCGCACCTAGGAGGAGACAGAGGCCATGGAGGTGTGGATAAGAGGTTGTTCGATTGAGAACAGATTGCCAGTATGCTATTATAGAGCGCCAACCGGTGGAGTTGCCGACTTGTCGACTGAGAGATTGGAAGCGTTGTTCGGCAATGAAGGCTAGAACAAAGCAGAGCAAGGCTTCGACTGCAATTGTGGCGCTTAGCTTGTCATCCTGGATATCATGGCTGGTGCTGTATTTGTGGGTTGAGTTGCGCTGTGAGGCATGTTTGAGGTCACGGCCCAGGTTGACAAATCTCTGATATTCGTCACGCCAGCCGCGGCGCTCTGAAGGCTGTGTGCTGGAAGATGGATGGCTTTCCACAGATAGAGACTGAGTCATCTTCACGCTTGTTGCGCTGCCACTTGGAGTCTTCATGTCACTGTCACCGGATCCCACACGGCGCATTGCAGTCCCCTTGTATTCCTTTTTAGGGGTGAGAAATTGGTCCTGCGAGGATGCAGGCGGGTGCTTAGTAGCCGAAGTTGATCTAGGAGTCTGCATGCTAGGTGTCGGAGCTTGGTCTAATGGAGGTGGTGCAAGTGTATTGGAACTCCGGGGCCGTTTTAAAGCAGGCTCCTGGACATCGTCTCCATCCACGGCCTTTGGTCGCTTGTAACCTGAGCTAGGCTCACGCTGTTTACCCATGGATGTAGTAGTGGAGCTTCCCGGTTGGGGTGATGAATTTGATGGAGAACTCTTGGATACAACAATGGAATCTGGCAGCCCCTTGGATTTCGCGGAGGTTTGCGTGGGTGTAGGTTTCCGTTTGGATGATATTTTTAAAAGAGCCTCGATTCGCTTCCTGTTCTGGCGACCATACTTTAGTTTGACGATCAGCTTCTCCTTTGGAGCTGTTGTCGTGATTCTGGGGGTTGGTTGAGAAGCGGCTGGCTTTGAAGAGGCCGTTGATGGTTTTGGTGGGAGGCCTGCAGAAGAAGATATACTGGCCGGTTTCTTCTCAGCAGCCAGGGAGGATTGCTGCGACTGTTTGGTTGATGACGAGTTCGCGCCCGGCTTGGGTTTGCTGGGCATAGCCTTGTTGGATATGCTGGATATGGAACTAGAGTGAGAGCGGGAGATCTTCTCTAGCCCGTCATCGGGCAGTCTGGCCAGTTCTTCCTCTATGTCTGGCGGGAGGGTCGGGGAGTAGAGGTGGCAGGCAGAGGCTGAAGCTCTCATTGTCAAATGGAAGCGTTGGGGAGAGCAGCTCCGGCACCATCTGGTGGGCTCTTCCTGTCTTCTTTGAAGGAATTTTCTCCTTTTCCCTCTCTTCCGGCTGAGTGGAGAGCCGTGGCTTCTTGCGCGGCGGAGAGTCCTTTGGCAGGCTAGATTTTGATGGCGGGAGCTTGGTATTTTTGTCTACCCGGCCGGTGTTGGCGGGTAACGAGGGGCTGTCCTGCGCTTTCTGCTTGGTATCATTACTTCTGCTGCCAGTCCGAGTGTCAGGGGCGGAGGTTGAAGAGGTAGCAGGGGCCGCGGCCTGTGAAGGGTGCTGATAGTGGTGGTGCTGGTGGTTTTGTTTGGCCTCTGGCTTGGAGCTATTCGACTGCGGTCTGCGCAGTGTCTTGTCGGAGTCTATACTCCCCGGGCGGCTGCCGTTGGTTCCATTGGCCCCGTTGGTGGACGGGTCGGCTGCGCCAGGCAGCGGAATTGGTGGTGGTGGGGGGGTCTCCAGGGCCTTCTTCTTGTAATCACTCAGGGTGATTTTCTTCTTCCGCCTGGCCAGGGCGTCCTGCTGCGAGGCGGTAGTAAGTGGCGCCGCCATGCTGACGGCGCTTGAGGGCGGTCTCTGGTCCTCTTCTGGGACTATATTCCCCTTGTCATCCGACCAGCCTCCAACCGAGACCAGCAGCGTGTCTTCTCCCTGGTGGGGGAGAAAGGTCATATACTGCAGCTGTTCCTCCTCCGGAGAGAACAAGGTATTCTCTCCCACTGCCCAGTTGCTCACGAAGCGCGATCCCAGCCGGTACGGCTTCTCGGTGGGCACGGACAAGATGTATGGATGGGCGGGCAGGACGTCCCGGGAGAGCTGCTTGAACTTGCGGTCGACGTCACTCAGATACGTAGAGTAAGACCTCTTCCCAGACGACACAAGCGACGGCTTAGACGGTCTGTTATCGGCGTGTGGGCGTGGTTGCGAGCTGCGACTGTCCGCCGACATGGCAAACGGTGTAGTAGCAAGCACAGAAGCGTGTATATCGAATTGCGAGGGCGGCGGACGGCTGCGAGACGAGAAGGAGGAGCGGATATCGACTGCGGCGATCGAGGGCTAACATCCAGGCCGGAGAGAAGGGCGTTCTTTCAGGTAGGCAGGCAGGCAGGCTCCTTTTTTCTTTCTTTCTTTTCTTTCTGCTGCAGGCTGTCGAGATATCAGAGACGTTATGAATGAGGAGGCATTGATTGAATGCGCCAGGCCAGCCCATTCACCAGGAACACAGCAGCAAAGAGCAACACAACAACAGCAGCGGTGGTGGATGGGGGAAATGTCTAGACTCGCAAAAAAGATCCCGCGTTCATTCACAGCATCTCTCCGATCGCATGTTTCCAGTGTGTATTCCGGGCTTGTGTTGGCGGGTGGCTGGCGATCCTCCTTTGCGCGGAGAGGGCGTGTTGTTATGATTTTTTTTTTTTTTTAACCTGCTGTGTTTGCCCTCTATTTCTTTCTTTTCTACCGCAGTAAAAGCGAGCGTCAGGCAGGCGTAAAAGCGAGGGGCAGCAGGCCGTCTCTCGTCTGGCCCTGGACGAGAATGTGCAAGAGAGCGTTTCCGCTGTGCGAATTTGCGGTGGCTCGTTTGGCTGCAGCGTTTCGGCTGCGGTGCCTGGCTGTATGGACCCAACCTCGACGATGCGTTGGCCGCCGGAGTGGGCGCTTCCCTTCTCCTCGTCCTTCAGGCGTCGGGTAGCCACCGGACAGGCGCGATTCGACGGTAGACGGGCTCGCTGGCTGGCTGGCAAGGGCGGCAGCGTCTGGCTGTCACCGGCGGGAGGGCGGAGGGCGGATCGCTGGCGGAGGGAGGCGGCAGAGGAGAAGAAGACAAGGCTCGGGGCGGACGGCGGCGGCGAGGTGCTTCATCGCCCTCGACTGCGGTCTCTCTGCCTGCTGCTCGACGGCCGTGTGCGTCTTGGGCTTCGTCTTCGCGGGCGGCGTCTTCGTCGCTGGCAGTCGTTTCGGTGGTGGGAAGATCGAGATGGGTCGAACTAACCAACTAGTTAACTAGTTAGTTAGCTGCTGCTCGCTGGTGGAACGACGGCGAGGAGACTTCGGCTGCGGGCGAGAATGACGGCGGCCGCAGAAGTACCGCTGCGTCTGGAGGAGCCCGGCTGATGGAGAGACAGGGAGGGTGAGGGTCCCTTTTGCTTCTGCTCGTTCTCGTTGCTTTTGCTGGCGGTTGAGCACTTGACGAGATCATTTGGCAGCGGCCGCCGGCGGATGTTGGTTATGCATGGTGTCTACAGACCGGATGAGAGGCAAGTGGTTGGTTACTGCATAGTTTGTGAAGGCTCTGGCTGACTGCTGTCTCTTCTAGCTGGTCGACTTGAGGCTGCTGGCTGTGAGGCTGCTGTTGGCAGGCATCAAGTGCGGCCATCTCGATACCCTTATACATATATATCCATGACATATATATATACATACACGACAACGAGATGGATGGCAGGAGTCTAGCATGAGGGACTCTCTCTCTCTCCCTATATATACATGTGTGTGTGTGTGTGTGTGTGGACGTCTTCTACGGCGTTTGCTGGTCGAGGTTGGAGATACATCTCGCCGGCCTGGGAAAGGAACCCTCATTCAACTTCAAACGTCTTGGACTCAGATGGTGCGACGGCTGACGAGGCCAGAATCTACCTGCTTCAGTGCCCGGTTGATACTTGGATAATATAGCATCCAGGCTGTTCGATGGTTGGCGAACTATGCAGCCATCTCCCCCGGTCTATATCACATCACAACTCTCTTAACAACTCAGCAATATAGCCAACCAACTAGTTATTATCACTATTAGTATCATTACGATCGATCATCGGGATCAAATTTACTCTTCCAGAAGGCCCGGTAGTGCTTCTCCCTGCCCAGTCGAGATATCTCATCGACCTCGTCCGCCGTCAGCCTAAACTTCACCACGTCCAGGAACTCCTTCAGCCTCTCCTCCTTGCTGCTGGTCGTGAGCGTCACCACATCCTGATCGATAGACCACCGGAGCAGCACATTCCCTTCACTCACGCCGTATTTCTTCGCCAGCCGACTGACGACTCCGTCGACGGGGCCGCCCTTTGCTCGTGTCAGAGGCGTCAGCGGAGCGTACCCTTCCACCGCGATGCCCAGTCGTCTATGCACCGCCAGCAGGTCCCCGTGCTGCAGGTAAGGATGGAATTCTATCTGGTTCACGGCCGGCTTGATGCTCGCGGTTTTCATGATCGCCTCCAGATGGGGCTGCAGGAAGTTGGACACGCCGATCGAGCGTGCCTTGCCGGACTGCTGCACTTGCTCCATCTCGGCCCATTTGGACTGCAGTTCTTCGTCGCTTTGGGCGAAGAAGGGCTCGTGGATCAGGTATCTATAGTTAGTAGTCAGTTGCCAGCGTCAGCCCTGGTACTCATACTTCACTCCCACAACGTAGATATCAGATAACCAGTAACTTAGCTCTGCGTACAGGTCAACGTAGTCCACCTGCAGGTTCCGCAGCGTCCTCTCGATGGCATCTTGTATATCACCGATGCCCTTTTCCACCTTGGCCGTGATGAAGAAGTCCTCCCGCTTCACGTTGCTCTCCTTTATAGCGATTCCCAGCTCTTTCTCCGTCCCGTAGGCCTCTGCGCTATCGAGGTGTCTATATCCCGTCCCGATGGCCGTCGCCACGGCATCAACGGTGTCCTGGTCGATGTCTTTGGCTCCGGCCTTCTTGTACCATGCTGTCCCTGTCCCGTATCCAAGCTGTCTCTCCGTCAGTAACTCACTAGTTATCGACTGGCCGAGTTCAGAGGCAATGAGCTAGCTTACCACTGGTACCGAAGCGCCATTCTCCAGCTTCACAGCAGGCACGGCAGCCATCCTGACAGCTCTCAAAGTAGTTTCTCCCAGGGCAATCAATAGTAATAGTCCCGTCTTTCCAGTTTATGTATTCTCTTCGTATTCTCGTAGTTATATTAACTCCTTGATCGGCTATGTGCCTGATGACATCATCTCCCGGACTTTTTATATACGGGCTTTTCGGCTGTTGAGTTGACCATCAGACGGCAGACATCAGCATCAACCTGACCATCGGCTACTTCGCATTTCATTCTCTCGTGTGCATCCCTCGCTTGGTCTGCTGGCAATTGATACATTCCCTTTAACTAGTAACGGGGGACCCGACCAGTTCCATGCTCTTGAGAAACCGCCTCCCGCGCCGGATCCCGCAGTCTCCTCTACGTCCTCGCCTGTCCCAGATGGCCTCCCATCTCATCCACAGCAGCAGCATCAACAGCAGCACAGCCGGTGCCGGCGATGAAAAGGACCAGTTATACTCGTCAACTACGACGACGGATGCTCCGGGTGTCTCGCTGGCGGACATCACAAAGACAAACAACTTCACCTCCAAGCTCCCCCCAGATGCGGCTTTTGATACCCCTCTGGCTTCACACAATGCGCTCCGAGAGCATTTGGGTCCCCGGCTAGTCAAGGGTGCGCTGTACACCTTCGTCAGGCCAGAGACCACTTATGAGCCAGAGTTGTTGGCCGTGAGCTCTCGTGCAATGAAGGACATCGGCTTGAAAGACGGCGAGGACAAGACGGACGACTTCAGGGAGATGGTTGCAGGAAACAAGATATTTTGGAACGAGACGGATGGAGGCGTCTATCCTTGGGCTCAATGCTATGGAGGTAGGTTTTGTTCCTTGATTCGGGGCCATATTTTTATGCTATGAGATATACTAATCCCATTATTTAGGCTGGCAGTTGTATGTTCTTTCCTGTTTTCTGGCATTCATCGAACAAAATATATACTTATCAATGACATAGCGGCACTTGGGCCGGCCAACTTGGTGATGGAGTATGTCTATTTCATTATTATTATTATTATCATTCCAGCTTCACCCATGGGCACTGACATGTGAAAAGCGTGCTATTTCTCTCTTCGAATCAATAAACCCGACAACAAACAGACGCTATGAAATTCAGCTCAAGGGAGCGGGTCTAACCCCATACTCTCGTTTCGCCGATGGCAAGGCAGTCCTCCGCTCCAGTATTCGGGAGTTTATTGTCTCCGAAGGTTGGTAGCTGTCAATGCATCTGCAGACTTGACGGTAAAGCTCACCATTCTCTAGCACTAAACGCACTGGGTATCCCAACTACCCGCGCTCTGTCTCTAACTCTCTTGCCAAACTGTAGTGTCAGGAGAGAAAGGCTAGAGCCCGGTGCCATAGTCACTCGTTTTGCAGAGTCGTGGATTAGAATTGGCACATTTGACTTGTTACGTGCTAGAAGTGACTTGAAGCTCACCCGCCAGCTTGCCACTTACGTTGCCGAAGATGTATTCCATGGTTGGGAGTCACTCCCGGCTGCCCTGCCCACTACTCAGGACAAAGAAAAACCTGTTGATGGAAAATTGATAGACAACCCTCCTCGGGGAGTGCCCAAAGACGAGATCCAAGGTGAGAAGGGAGCAGAAGAGAACAGGTTTGCTAGGCTATATAGAGAAATTGTTCGGCGCAACGCAAAGACGGTAGCTGCCTGGCAGGCATATGGCTTCATGAATGGCGTGCTCAATACCGACAACACCTCCATTTTCGGCCTGTCGCTTGACTTTGGCCCATTTGCCTCCATGGACAACTTTGATCCAAGCTACACGCCCAACCATGACGACGAGATGCTGCGGTACTCATACAAGAATCAACCATCAGTGATCTGGTGGAATCTGGTGCGTCTAGGAGAATCATTCGCCCAACTAATAGGAATTGGCGACAAGATTGACGACGAAGCCTTCCTATCCAATGGACTGAGCGAAGAACAAACGTCAGATGTCATTGCTCGAGCTGAGAAACTCATCGACCAAGCTGGAGATGAGTTTAAAACGGTTTTCCTAAATGAATACAAGCGCCTCATGTCTACACGTTTGGGGCTTAAAACGCAAAAGGAATCTGATTTTAATGAACTGTTTTCGAACCTTCTCGACACTCTCGAGAAACTAGAGTTGGACTTTAATCACTTCTTTAGAAGGTTATCAGGACTCACCGTGGCGGAGATAGATAGCGACGAGAAGAGGAAAAAGGCGGCCAGCTTGTTCTTCCACGACGAAGGCGTTGGCGGCGTCGGAAATACTGAGGAGTCCGCACGGGAGAGCGTTGCTAAGTGGCTTTCATCATGGAGAGAGCGAATAGTAGAGGACTGGACCGGTCGTGAAGATGAGGAGCGGATACGCTCCATGAAGGGAGTGAATCCAAAGGTGAACGACAACCAAACCATTATTTTTTTCTTTTATGGGTTTTATCAAAGTATGAGTGCTGACCTACTTTCTTTCTCATAGTTTATTCCTCGATCGTGGATCCTCGATGAAGTGATCCAGCGTGTTGAGAAGCAGGGCGACAGGGAGATTCTGGGTCGAACCATGAACATGGCCCTCCACCCATTCCAAGAAGAATGGGGCATCAACAGGGAAGAGGAGGAGAGATTCTGCGGCGATGTACCCCGATTCAAGAGGATGGCAATGTGCAGCTGCAGCTCATGAGTTCCTTGCTCTCCCCAGTTTGTTTTATCTTGTTCGGGTCTGGACCAGTTAAGACCCTCGGGTAGATATGATGATATATCCCCTTCCTTGACTGTGGCGAACAAATTCAATTCTATTTACTTCATGACGTTTACCTAGATTCAATGCGAGCGTCAATTCAAAAATTGACTTCATCACTCTACTTAAACTCCAGCATGGGCCTCCCTAGCTCTCACCAAATGCTCCATACCTTGAGCAGAGGCTTGTCCCTTCCTTTGATATGCCCGTTTCGGGAAAAGCCCAAACAAATAGCAGGGCCCGCTCCAACTAAAACACCATGCATAGAGCTACAGAAAGGGCTAGAAGATCCGAGGGCCGCAGACACATTCCAACCGATGGCTTCATTAGCAGCGATGCAGGCAGCTATTCTGGTTCCAGCAGTGAAATCGGAAGTGTCCGAACAGCTAGCAGTGCTGCCAATGGGGAGGACGACGAAGACGAAACACTCCGTCGAGCCTTTAAAGAAAGTTTGAGGCTGGAAAAGGACCGTCAGCGACAGCGCAGGGAGGCTGAACGGGAAGCCATGCTCCGGGAAGAGGAGGTCCGCCGACAGTCTCTCCGGGAGGCTCAGGCAGAAGCCAGGAGAGCGCAGCGGGCGGCCCAGGCGGAAGAAGAAGCAATTCGGACAGCCATGGAAGCAAGTGAACGGGAGCAGGAGGAGGCGAGAGCAAGAAGAATAAGGGAGAATTTGTGGCTTTTCGAACAGACAGTGGAACAGTCGCGGAGAGAATATGCAGCTGGCAATGGGCGCGGTTCTCAGAGGAACTACCAGCGGTTCTCTAGGGA